AATCAAGGGATCCAGTAAAACAACACAGGTTTGCTTCACCAGTCTTTTTCCTCTTGTTCGGTTGGGGAAATCAAAAAGCAGAATCTTTCTTCAAGGTCAATATCTTCTCCGATCATGGAATTGATTTACAACACGGCGTTATATGTGTTTAAGTGCATCCATTTGTCTGTATGTCGTTTGGTGAACAAGGCTTCACATAAAGGTTGCCTAATCAACACTAAGGACCGATGAATTCCGACAGGTGTTTTTGTACTGTTAGGTCACATAGCACGTAACTGAATGCATGCAAAGACCATGGCAGTTGTCAAGCGCAACACTGTGTTGCATACTGGTGGACATGGACTGAGAGAAACACATGGCAATTCCTTCGACCACATGCTGCAATAGTACCGATCTTTTGGAGTGATACTTTCTCAAACAACCATGAAAGATAAAAAATCATTAAAAACATAGCAATATAGCCCAAATTCGGGTTGTTTAAACCCAGAATGAACTGTGAAAGCTATGGTGAAGTTGATGGTGATAAACAAACGGGCATTCTGTCAGCGCTGAAGATATCAAATAATAATAAATAAAATAAAAACAAACCAAATAAATCACATAATAATAATAATTGCTTTTGATGGTGATAGAGTGATTTAAAATAATATATCGTGTTTGCGGAAGTTCATCATGCTCCAGAAGTAAACTAAATTCTGCATTATATTTTACAATGAACGAAAATCTTCCAGACCGCGATGTACAATAATCTCAAAAGTAATCAATTTTGAATCAAACTTGAGTTTCAATGAAGGAAATGCAAACGCCAGTCCAGTCACAAGGAAAATGTGTTCATGTACTTTTTACCACTGTGTCAACCAGATCACACTGTGGTTACCCAAAATTTTGTATTCCAAATTGTTTATTTGTTGACTTCAGATACAGTCAATCAGCTGTTAATTGTGCAGCTTTAACTGTAGAGAAACTATACCGCTTTTTCCTTTGATTAAAATCATCATATTTGATTAGGTTTTTTGTGGGTTGAGCTACAGATCAGCAGATAAATTCAAAACTATTCATTCAGAAATCTTTGTGTGACTAGATCGATTACAGCCCGTATGGGAAGATAAAGTCTGAGGTTGCTGTTGGTGAGTTCTTCGAGGTGAAGTTGTTGTTCGCAGACTTTTCTTAGCCAACCAAGGTACATCATCAGTGCGACTTCTCGGAAGTGCCAATTTTCGGTGTGACCGGGCTTATACAGTTCTGTTCGAGGTTTTCGATTGGCTGTTTGCGTATGAGGATTTTCAGCTAAAATCATGGACATTTATGCCGCACCATGTTTTCGTCTTCTATCCATAAGAAAAGTCGGTTTACTGAGGAAGGCGAACGTGTACGCTTGTTTGTCAATCCCTCCTGTGGTTCACCTCTCGGCTGATCACCATTTTGTTCAGATTTTGTTGTGTAACTTCAACTACAATTTTATCGTAAAACGTTCCTCGTATGTTTACTACTAAGTACTTATTTCTTTTGCTATTAATTACTTCTTTGTATTCTATTTCGGTGGTTACAATGAGCGTTTCATGTAATCTTGTGCTGCTTCTTGTTGTTATTTTCTTTGTTTGGTTTTTCTCACTGTTGTGACCTTCGGCAAAAAGAACAGTAATTTGAATTCGTAATTTGCATTTATTTTTTGTCGATATGTATTCTAAGTTTACTTCATTGATTTATAAAGCGCGCATATTATTCAGTATCTTATATTTTCGATTACAAACCATTGTGCACTACCTCCGGGGTACGGTAGTTCACTGGTATGATTTGACTTTGACTTCGATATCATAACGCTCATGTGCGTGTTCGCATCTATTCTGCATTAAGTCTTGTCTCGGCAATTCAGCATTTCTCGGGTAGTCCCTGATTGCGTAGGATTCCCCTCCAGAAAATTTACTCTACTACTTATTGCATTTGAAACAAAAATTGAAATTCTTCAAATTGTTGTTTGGCAGATTTGAAGTTTCTATGTCGATTGTGAAAGTTCAGTAGCCTCGGTGGTATTCGAACCCATTCATGGACGCCGCCTACGCCTTATACGCGCATGCTCTACCAGCTGAGTTACGAGGCCATACCGATAGCAATGATCTTTTCACATTCGAATTTACCCATCCAACTTACAGAGGCATGTGGTATCCACCAGTTAGCATGTAAAAAATGGGAATAAAATACCAGTATCATGATACTGGTTATTGGTTTCGGGTTGCAATATCGATGGTAGTTTTCACGCAATCGTTGACATGTCCGTATAACTTTGACCTGTTTACTTAATACCAATAGAAGATCATAAGTGTATCTGTGTCCCAAAATGAGTCCTATCGTGTGCGGTGTTTAAACTGCTCCACCAAAGTGCACAGATACCACCTCAGAGCATAGACGTGAAACATATTAGCAAATCCAGAATGCTTGTCAAATCGCATTTAATTTGTCCGCGACTGGAAACATGTTATTTTGTTCGCCCGACAAATATCTTTGCCTGAATTAAAAAAAAACAAGACGGACGAAGATCCATTGGAGGAGAAGTGAAGGCGGGGTGGGGGAGAACTGTTGCACTAGCCAGTGTGTATGCAACTTCAAACATACCTAGAGACTAGTTGTTGAAAGCATAATTGATGTTTTCAGCTCACGAAATCATAAAAGCCAGGTATTACGATAACATGCGATGGGAGATTAAAGTGTATAATTGTTGTGAGCTTTGCAACAACCGGGCGCAAGTTTACCCCGAGAAAATGTCAACTTGTGAGACTGAAAATTTGTTTCACTTAGCGTGAACGGCAAACACTTCTTGGCAGATAGTGAATATATATATATGTTCTGTGGAAAGCAACTTCCAAAGTATTTTGTATTCAAATAAATGTTTCTAACCTTCTTTCGTTCTATATTTTTCTTCATATTTTTTAAGTCTTTCGCTTCGATTCATTGATAACTCTTTGACAAGGAATATGTATAAATCAGTTTTCCTGGTAACATCGGCATTAGATGATAGTGATGGAGGATGTTATATAGAAGTTCATCGTGTAAAGAGCGGAGGAAGCTAAAAGTTGAATTGCTGGAAGCCTTGGATAGCTGTTTGGACTTGGTTGGGTCTCATCAGCCGTGTGAACCCATCTGGGTGTGGATCGAACTCAGAGCCTCATATATAGAAGTCATGCATATTACCCACTCGACCACCGGGTAGCCGATCGCAATGTTTCTCATTTTACTTATATACGATATAGCCCAACCGATCTTTAGCACATTTTGCTGGTATCCAACGTTGCACATCTCAACGCTATCCCCTGTTGTGACTCCATTGGAAACATTCTAGCTTTTCAGCTCACGCTTCATTTGCTCCTTGCACGAAGAAATTCAGAACATAAATGATGCTAATATTGTTGAACATGGAAAGCAATGAAATAAGCACACTTTCCCCTCACAAGTCTGAGACCAGTTGAACAGTCATTCGTAACAGTTCGAAGTTAAGAATGGCAAAACAGTTGTTTCGTTTTTACCTACTTGTCTTTATTTGCTCCTATTGAGATGTTGTAGAGCGTGTCGAGGAACAAATATTTGCCCATTTTACAGAACTCCTCAATGGGAGGGAGGCTATAAACCAAAAGCTACCATATTTATTTTTTGGTCCCCAAGAAATTTATGCAGAGTTATCATAAATGAATCTGATGCGTTAGTGTTGAGACTGGAACTCACTGAACGCAACTTTTGTGTGAATCACGTGGAAGAATAGTAAAATTCATTTTTATAACTACTCCGGAACAAAATGCATTGGCAGGTTTCAGTAAGTAGATCGGGCTGAATAGACTCAGTTCATCAAGTTGGCTAATTTAGATTGAAACGTTTCACCGAAAGTAAACTTGACATACTGCATGTCACTTTAACTGATAATATGAAGCTTACAAACATGGTCCATGGTGACTACCGGGATTTAAGTACATGTTTGCTATCTTGGTTATTTTCTTATACTGGTGAAATTTTCGTTTTTAAGTAATTAACACGGTTGTAGTTATCACTTTGTTAAGTACAGCAATGAAGCAATACTCTTTTCTTCACTTTGTCTGTGATAGAACCTTCAGTGAAAACCCAAATTTCAGTAACTGACAACGTTTAACAAAGTATTTCCCGAATTTTAGAAAGTTCCCTAGCAAGGGAAACAATCCCGGAAAGGCTGTTGGTCACCAAACACGTTTATAAACGAGTGCCATTACCAAAAGAGTAATGAGACCCAATCAGCATTCGGCTGACACTTTTCCCTTCGAAAAATTCGGTTTTACTATTCAAGAGTATCTGAGTTACCAATTTTTCTAGTTTTCTAACATTTACACAAAATTTGACAAACTATCATTCATAGTGGTGTATTTAATCACTTATATCGGGGTATCTATCAAAACATCTTATCCTTGCCAGTTTCCTAACTCACCAGGTTTCATTACGGATGAACAGTGTGGTATTCATTCCGGAAATTCATCAAATAAAGTACTGCAACTGGTTTAAATGTCAGACAAATACCGTTCGTTCCTTCGTTTATTTTGACAACCAAGATTTTGCTGCTATTTCAAATATGTGAACTTCAGAGATCTGGTAATTTGTTCGCATCTCGTGCAAGTTTGTCAATATTTATTCTTAGTGAACAGTCGCTTTTCTTCTTTTAAGTTCTTCAGTAGGTAAAATCCTATATTCTCTTGTTTCACATTTAGTCCTCTTATTTTATTCTTTACGTTACTTCCTTTTATGAAACATACAAGACTAACGCTAAATTTGCTGGAATACTTATTGATTGTTTATAAGTAAAACTGAAAGCAACTTTATAACAGTCATAAACTGAAAGCATTGTTTTCTCTGACGAAGATGATAGAAGCAGATATAAACTGGTGATAGATACTCACTCGATACTATGTTAACCATTGAACTACAATCGTTTACTTTAAAAATAAAGCAATTACTTTAATCTGCTTTTAACAAACTACATCAATATATATATATATATCTATAAGCTAATTTTTCCCCAAATCATTTCTCACTTTGTTTCCTTTTTCCAATCAAGGAGTGTTCTAAACCCCTCAGCGGTTCCAATTTTCACGAAGTAGATGGTTATCCACTGTGTGAATCCCATTACTACACACGTCGTGGCCTGATATGCAGCACTTGTTCGAAACCGATCACTGGCAGATGTGTGAACGCGCTGGGAAAACGATATCACCCGCTCCATTTCGTCTGTGCTTATTGTCTTCAGCCTTTGCAAAGTGGCACATTCAAGGAGCACACTAGCAAGCCCTACTGTCATCAGTGTTTCGCGCAGCTTTTTGGTTGAATTTCTCTCCGATCATTCATTCGCTCATACCTTTACACACGCACAATAGAATCTACCTGGGCGGCTCATCTGGATTATTGTCATTTCGTCCCCGTTGCAACCGCCATTCCTCGACAATTGAGCAAATGTCTGTGTAGACGGAGAAGTCCCAATTGAACCAAAGACGCAGTTCTCTGCATGAGATGTGAATACTCCCCCCCGCCCTTCACCCGTCCCCCTACGCATACACGCAAACGTTTCATCTTTATAAGTACTTGCAACCTACAGCAAACTACTTTCGTTCTGTAGAACCTCCTTCCACATACAACTCCGTCAGGATTAAAGCATACTTTATTTTAAGACAACCATATGACCAAGAATATTACAGGAATCAGATAAGTCTTTTGTCTTATACGCCAATGAAATTTGATTAGCCAGTCTCCATCACAGGTTACTTTCTTTCGCATAAATACTAATCATCTCTATTCGAGAGTAACCAACTTGGTTCCCAGTTGCTCTTTACTTGAATACTGACCTGAATACTGCACTTTGCTCCATATTTCTAGCTGGTCATTCGGTTTCTCACGTGATCTCTTCCATCTTTATCGTATCAAAGTATCACCGGTTGTTTGCCGACATGAATCATCAATGCTATCACTTATTGTCTTCTTATTCTATCTTTTTTATACATATACAAAGCTTGAAATGAACGCGTTGGATGCACTTTTCTTGCTCCAAGGTAATGGTATTTATCCATCTGCATAAAACAGCACATTGCTGATGCTCATTTCGTCCAATCAAGAGAATACGAATCTGCCAAAGATGAACGAACTCATACTGTTGAGATTCGGTAAAAACACTGGTATATGTATCACCATGAAAGTCACGAAGATACGCGCATTGGTAGTGTTGTATACCTTTGTATTCTTAAATACTGTAATAGTACACGAGCATAAGGTACCAATCAATGGCTTCGGATGTTGTTGATTCCCAATGTGCTTTGTGCGGTCTTTTCTTTTTTGGTCGCTACGTGGTGCGCAGACCGTAACGGGATCTTTTGTGTTTATAAATAAACTACTCATGAGTAGAATGACAAACATAGGACAGGACTAACTGGAACTTCATCGTCAAATTGGGTCAGGATGCCCACCAAAAATTCGCTAACATATGTAGCAATTGTACACTAGTTTATCGGCAACATATTGTGAATCTGTAAGTTCTGTACGTTTGGCATTGAATGTCAAACTTGGTATGGCAAGGACATGTAGTTGTACAACACAAGATCAAGTACCAATAACAAATGGACGCGAAAGGCATTCATTATTCCTAAGAACCATAGCCATTATCACATGAACCATAGCGTAAATGATGGGATGGATTTCGTTCAAAGCAGTGTGAGTTATTGTCATCGAACTCAGTGTCGGGAAATGGATGAATAATTTGATCCACGTGTACACGATGCACAAGATTATAATTTGAATCCAAAATTCACAAGATGCTTTTACATAATAGACTTAATGCAATACCATTGGCAGGTTGTGAATCATTTGCACGTGGAAATGCTAATCAGCCGAAGCAATATGTTTTAAATACGTTCCAAGCATATGAGAGGTAAACAGGTTTGCAGGACTAATACGACCGGTACAAATTGAAGTAATGTAGCGTTGCCGCAGGAAATCATCTTCCCCTCTTTCACGTTCATTGACAATTGTGGAACTCATTAAGTAAATGCTATTTTTCAATATTAGGGCAAAAATTCTTCACCACGATATTGCACTGCGGATTTCTCGGCGCAGTAAATCCCATACGAGTCACCAACAGCTGCAGTGGAGAACTTCACTGAACTGATCAATGGGTTACCCACTTTAGTATGGTCGAGCTGTTTCGTCATAAATGTTGGTGGATACTACTTTGAGATAATGTATTGCTCATTTTTATATAACAATTAAAACTTTTGTGCATCCGGAAAATTTTGCTCAGCCCCGATATGTGAAATGTTGTTACACATCAACTTTGTATTGTAGCGGCAGTGGATTCATGTCAGGACTAAGAACGATAACAAATAGAACATTTTTGGTCAGAAATACTATTAAATCTCGACCCAAGAAACACTTTATGCCTCAAGCGGGTTTGGGGGAGTACTCTTCTTTGCAACAGAGTATTTTGGAAACACCAGCCATCAGGTATGTAACCCATTTAAACAAAGCACCGAATCGAATCCATGAATTGAATTGATTTGGCATGAAAAATGCTCTCATTCACCTAAATTTTACCATAAAGAGGAACGAAGCACACAGTTTAATTGCTGGATGCATTGAATTCATGGAAACATTCGTTTTACTAGTGCCCCTAGTCTCGCATTTTGTCCAGCTTTACCAGAAGCAGGTACAACAACATCATCGCGATAAAATTCAACACATCTGATAAAAGTTTACCATGAAATTTACAACAAACAGTAAGAACGAACGGGAACCAAATAGACCAAAGAGTGGAGAAATGCAAGTATAGAAGCCGATGCGGGTGTCACTCGAAACATACTCACGTGATATTTGTACAAGTACACAGCTTTTAGGTCAGCATGTGACAAACCATTAAAGTGAGGCAACTTATCATCTGGTTCAACAGCGATGCACGTCTGCTTACTCATTTTGAAATTGAATACTAATTTACAATCACTACAAGTTCTTAGTTCCCTTTCGCCTGTTCGCCGAGCTTGGCAATTTGTTTGCAAACGTTTCATTACCAGCCGAGGTGACATCATCAGAAACACCAATGATGTCAACTCAGCTGGCGATGAAACGTTTGCAAACAAATTGCCAAGCTCGGCGAATAGGCGAAATGGAATTTAGTTCACCCGAGCTACGAGAACCAATTTTCAATAATTTGTCAAAACGTTCTCAGCTTTTACCTGTCCAAATATATTGATGCTAAAATTGAGCTGCCCCATTTGACCGAACCAAGGGGAACTGCGTTTGTCACCATTTTTCAGTGGCAAACCAAGCCAGGAAAGTCATCACCCATCAACTATATTCAGACATTATTCCATGTTTGCTTCAAGTTACTCACTATGCTCATACATTCAGATGGCCGGTCATCCCAGCTGAGTCTCTTTTCTAGCCCATTTGGGATTGCTCTTTAAGGACAACTGAGCCGAGTCCTATTGAATTCCCATCGGGACTGCACACACATAACTTGAAATCAGTGTAGAAAATAAATGAACTAAAATCATGTCATCATAAACTCGGTCTTAAAATTGCCCTTTTAAAATGTAATCAATCAAAGGGCTACCATACAACACAGGATTCAAAAACGCATCGGCCTTACGAAGGACCCTTTCGTGTCATTTCACGTCACGATAAGACCTTCAGGGTTGATCGACATGGCCGCGTCGATACGATTAGCATAGATTGTCTTAAAGCCGCATACGTTGATGAAAACGTTATGCACGCTAACACCAGACTTTCTGCTAATCCCTCTTAGCCTCTGAACGAGATATCAGTCTCACATTCAAGCTCTCGTTATTTTTCCGCTGCACTAGCTTTAGACGATGCATCTGGTTCACGTCTTAGCTGGAAGTCTCAACAGCTTGCCACGACTCTGAATGAGGACTCATCGTCACATTCAGGTCGGAAACCACCACTCCCTACCATGGTTTTGGATAAGGCAATCGCTTCACATTCAGACCGGCAGCCTCGCGCAACGGACGTGACCCCTGTTTCATGTCCAAGCCAGCCCGGTGCAGTTTTATCTCGGCCATCAAACGAGACTTCCGACTCACGTTCTGGTCGAAGGATCGTTTTGCCGGCATATTTTCGAACGTACGTGAAACTTGATCCTAAAACATTATTGCGGAGCAATACCACTGCGTTCACCAATAACACAAGTTCTACTCGATTTTATTTAGCATTTATATTGTTCTTTGGTATTGAAAGTGTGCGCAGTTGCCTATTTGCGGTTGCTACACCACGTGTTTCTTTCTTTTCATTTTCATATTTCATGAACCACATACGTGTTCTGGCTATCGCATGATTGGCCCAACAAATTCTGCACGAATTCTGGTTCCACATATTCCACCGCATAGTCAATGGGTTATCCACGAATCCGACGGCTTGTCCTTTCAACCACGTGCGATTCCGGCTACCTCGGTCAAAACAAAATGCACCTTGGCTCGTAGGTAGCACTCCAACTGATTAACCCAGACCGCAATCCGGTTCCGTAATCCTCGCTGCTATTCTGTTTTTGATCCCAATCATTGTAATGCATCTGACTCGACATCGAGTTCCTTTGCCCCACCGTTCCACCGCCCATAATACTGTCCCCGACCGCGGACAGTATGTATCTACTGCGAACTTTTTTGAACATGATACACCTCAGCACAGCACCACCTTTGTCTTGCCAGAGGCGAAAGTTTTTTCACACTTCCTAGCGGGGGCTGCTGTAGTGTGCCCGACTGTACGGTGAAATCTAGTCAATAACAGACCTTTGCCGGACACCATTTTTCCTCCATAATCTAAGTGTATGTTCACATTTTTACTTCAGTACCAACGCTGTGACGTTTGTTTTACACGATCGCTAACAGCTGCATTCTTCCGCAGGAGGACTTTCACTTTTGCTTTCGAACCGTTTGCACGATATGGCGCTCGTTGGTTTTTATTGCCTTCGCGCTGTAACTCCAATTCTCGTTAGCAGGTACCGGTACTTTCCATGTGCCACGGTACCTCAATACAATACAATACATTTAAAACAACCACAAGGCTTCTGGTTTAACCAGTGGTAACTTGGTTGTTCGCGAGTCCAGGGTCCGTTCTGAAGTTCGTCACGACCATCCGTAGTCTACGCGCTTCAAGACACTGAGCGATATAGCTGAGTGTCATAAACAGTAGGGCACAATCGTTGACTTCAAAATCAGATCTGACTTACATTTGGTCCTCCCTTTATTCTTTCCTCATCGGTTGACTTATTTTTATACAAAAGACAGCAACAGAAGCTGACCCACCAAAGTGCCGGGTTTATGGTTGTGTAAACTGAAAAACGTGAAGAACCCAGGTTTTCTGATTATTTTCTAGCCTGATTTGTGACAAATGTTGCCTATTGAATGTCATGATCACTAGTTAAAAAATGTTGGTTGAGCATATCAGCAATCTCCTTAATTATCCCTATTAAGTACCTTATGAATCTTTTGTCTAACATTCTGACGGTTTATAATGGTAACTTGGTAATGTTGTTATGGAACAGGTTACATTATTTCGGTACGAGCCTTTATCTATTTTTCATTGTCCTCTTAAATTGGCCTATTTAATTTGGTCGAATGCGATTGCCTGTTCATGTTCCGTTGAAGAATGTGAAGCATGGTCGACTTTATTACGTCCCGTGATTGCTTGGTTTTCAGTGTATTGCTCATCGTTGCTTCTACAGCTGCACTCTACGCACTGTGTGACTAATCTACAAAGTAGGTTTCATGGATCCACCTGTCAAAAATACCGGCAATCTAACTATTATTTTCCATCATTTTTTATCTGTCACTTTGAGTCTTCTAAAACGGATTGAAATTACACTCTACGCAGATTATTTACATTTTCAATTAATTTTTTCACTGGTCACTTGTTTGGACATTCTGTGGCAGGGAATTGGGATGTGTGTACATTGAGACAAGTGTCAACCGTCTGCTAATTTACCAGAATCATAATCCGGAAATTTTCAATCGNCACAACTTTTGTTTGATTTTCAATGCGTTGATCAGGCTAAAATGCTTCTATTTTTCCTCACTTTCGGGATCATTAAATAGCAAATTTTGTACCTCTTCTTTCCTGTCCGGAAATAATTGGCTCCTACTGATTTGGCTCCATCTGTTAACCTTTTCATTTCAATCCTTACATGAAAATTGATTTGAACGACCAGATTTAGTTAGTGGTTTGGGCTTCGCCTTTGATTCATTCATTTTGTTTTGACAGATAGGATACCTTTTGCAATTCGAGTTATCCGAATATCAGTTCAATCGGCACGAACAGTACATAGGCCTGGCAACACTGATTAGGTCAACGAGACATTTTGATGTGGTACTGAGACAGCTAGAAGTGATAGTCAGAAAAGTTGAAATGATGCCAGGATATCTTTCTACGCGACTTTCTGGAAAATCGAATCAATTTTCACCCAGGTGGTGTGTAAGTGTTACTGCATCATTGAGTTCTGTCGGATTTACCACCTGTTAGGTAGCACAACTAAATGCGAATATTTCAAAACCATGGTTTGATAAAAGAGCATGATTCCACGGCAGTCTCTGTAATAATGGGTTTTAGTTTGCTAGAATTTTTCTCTCCTTTATGTTCCATCTTTTGCGTGCAAAAATTTTGATAAGACCGAAATTGGTTCGTCAATTCAAGTGAACAGATATTTTTTTAGCAATGAAATCTGAACGAGGTATTTCATTCAATGAAAAGCGCCCGCGCACCTAAACATCTGTTTTGTCTGAAACATTCAAATGGGTTTTAACCCATGCTGATTTAACTGTGGAAAATAAAGTGATAACCACGAAGGACGTAAAGGAATCTAAATGGAAATTGAGGGAAATGAAATAGGAGAAGAGGGGATAAAATATGGTCGAGTAACTTAGTAGGATGCGACAAAAACAACTGTCAACCCAAACAAGCACGTTTAAAGAATTCCACATTTCGACGAATTCGTTGTTCCATTGTCTGGTCCATCAGTTTATTCTTGTTCGATTTCAATAATTGTTGACAAATAAACATGGCCGCTGTGGGAAATCCATCGAGATAGAGTAAGGCGGCATAATTAAGTCGCAGGCGAAACCATTCCACAGTTTTGGTCATGTGACTGTGCGTGAAAAACGCTTTCGCCTCTGTGTATGCGTTGTGCGCACGAACCTGATAGGCACCGCATTTCGGATGAATCTCAAACAGATAGCGCAAATAGTCTGCCTTCAATCGAAGAAAATGACCTTTGATGGGGGCAGCGACCCAGAAATGTGGTGCAATACGATGATCGACCAATTCGATAAACTCTTCGCAATAGTTCCGCAATTTGTGTTTCAGTCCTTCTTTTTTCTCATCTATCGGATGATGCAGAATTGCAAGACGTAGTGTCGGGACAAGTCGCTCGTAGCATGTTTTGATCCGACGTGTTTCACGTTCTGTCAAAATGGCTACTTGAAAAAGATCGTAGTTCAGATCTCGATGTTCATCTTCAGCTACAGCAACTTCGTGCAGAAGACGTCGTCGTTTCAGTT